TCCAAAGATTTTTTTTTTTCCTGTTTTAGAAGAATCCCAAAATAGGTGAGAGCATGGCCCCCCTGCTGGTATGGAGGCCAGAGGAGAGCAGGCCTTCGCTCTCCACACTTCACAGCCTGCTAATCACAGGCCTCTGCCTGACAGCATGAAGCCAGTGGGAACATTCGAAGGCAGGGAGGCTGCACAGCCGTTTATGAGAGAGAGGCAGCTAGTCTCCTGGGGTGGCAGCATCATGCGCAGAGGCGGTCTCTGTGGCTTGTTAGAAAACCGCAGACAGATGGGGTTCTGCAAATGCTGCCTGACCCTGCCAGAGGTGCTTCCTGGGCAGTCATCTTCCCTCCGTGGGCCCTGCTAGGATAGGTGTTATGAGGTGTCTTCCAGCCGGAACACTTAATTCTTGAGTTTTTAATACAGCCTTCCTGCTGATGGCCATAGAAGGCTGAAAGTGGGGTGGAGCGAGATCCAGAATTTCAAAGGAGCGGTGCAGTATCAGTCTGTTGTAGTTCGGCTCATAGATGTCCCCCAAAGGCCCATGTGGTAAAGGATGACATCTTTAAGAGATGTGGCTTGGTGAGACACCTTCAGGACACTGGTCCGGGAGGGCTCTGGCTGTCCCTTTCCTCTTTTTCTTTTGCTTGCTACACGCTCCCACCATGGCATACACACAGCGACCATTGTCCACCACAGACTGAAACTTTCAGACCTTTGAGCCAGTGGAAGTTTTTCAGCCTGACAGGTGACAATCTCCGTGTCTGTTACTGTGGCAGAAAGTGACTCCCAGTCCGTAAAATCATCCTCTGAAAGTAACTCCAGACCTACACCGGGATCTTAAGTTCTAATAGTTTTTCTAAGTCACAGAATAGAACTAAGGTGACCAAGCTTATGCGTTCCCCCCTTGCTTCTGTGTTCACCTGGACGCACATCCTGAAGGCCCTGGTGCCTCTGTCCACGAGGCAGGGTCCTGGAAACCTGGCTGGGAGCGACTGGAGATTAAGAAAGACAGACTTAAGTGGGCCATGCGCTCAGATGAAACATACCAGCAGTCAAGATATTCGGGGTGTTTGTTACACACAGCATGAACAAGGAGATGAGTTAGCTGGTCTCTATATAGAGGGTCTCTAGGGGAACTGGCTGGGTGCAGGGTGTGGGGGGGTGACCCTGCAGTCTTTTTTCAATGTACCATTTTTAACCAAAGGTCCACCTTCAAACTTGGACCGAAGACAAGCCTTGCGGTTCCCCCGAGCCTGACCCAGGAAAAGCCTTGCCATCCCCATAAGTCTGAGACATTGGCGTCCCTGACATGGCCATACTCATGTCAACAATACACACTCCCTGGGGACTTCATCTGTTTTCCACACTCTGGTGTATGAAGTGGCTGGATACGTAACAGGGTTGGAGGTCAGGAGAACGTGAGTCCTCATCCCACTGCCCTGGTGTGGAGGGAGCTTGGGAAAACAGTCTTCCTCTGCTGAGACATTGTTCTTTACCCGGACATCAAATCAATGCCCAGTTGTTCCATTTTGTCCAGTTATTATTCCTTCAAATCCCATGGGGGCTGTGATTTCCTTGAGCTCCTCCTTGCTTTTTTTTTTTCCTTCTTTGAATGGCGTACTAAAATTTTACAGTTCATGAATGGGTAAATAAAATGTCCGTAATCCATGTCACGGGATATGATTAGCCCTTAAAAGACAGTGAAAGTATGGATAAGGGCAACAAAATGGAGGGGGATTGAAAATATTAAGCTAAGTGAAAGAAGCTAGACCCCAAGACCATAGATGGTATAATTCCATTTGTATGAAATGTTCAGAGCAGGCAGGTCTCTAGTAGCAGATGTACAGTAAGCTAGTCCCAACTGTAGCCTAGGGCTAGGAAGAAGGGACTGCAGTACCTCTGGGATTTTGTTTTTAGGGATGATGGACATGCTCTAAATCATTGCAATAATGATTATACAACTTTGTGTTGTTGTTGTTGTTGTTTTAATTTATTTATATTTTATGTATGAGTGCTCTGCATGTATACCTGCAGGCCAGAAGAGGGCACCAGATCTCAATATAGAGGGTTGTGAGCCACCAAGTGGTTGCTGGGAATTGAACTCAAGTCCTCTGGAAGAGCAGCCAGTGCTCTTTACCGCCGAGCCATCTCTCCAGCCCTGATTATACAACGTTGTAAACTTGAAAACCTTTGAATCATCATCAAACTGGTCCATTGCAGGCTGTCTGAATTGTTTCTCAATAAACCTATTAAAAAGCAGACAGCCACTTTAAGAAAGCTGATGACACCACCGCACGCCTTTAATCCCAGCACTCGGGAGGCAGAGCCAGGCAGATCTCTGTGAGTTCGAGGCCAGCCTGGTCTACAGAGCGAGATCCAGGAAAGGCGCAAAGCTACGCAGAGAAACCCTGTCTCGAAAAAAAGAAAAAGAAATAAAGAAAGAAAGAAAGAAAGAAAGAAAGAAAGAAAGAAAGAAAGAAAGAAAGAAAGAAAGAAAGCTGATGTCCCCAACCAGGCAGGACATGGAGAAGAGGCAATGGGGGTCCAGAAGGCTTCTGGCTTAGGGCCTAGAGAGATGGAGAAGGAGGAAGCGGTGGAGATGAAGAGGTCATTTTGGACGGAGTGGGTTTGGGATGCCACACAGGAGCCTTCTGCAAGCTTCTGTGAGCCCAGTTCCCTCACGCATGACATCCTATTCCTGTGCCACAGGACAAGAGGACACTGAGGCTTGATCCCAACCTGTCGGGACACGGTGACTCAGTATTGGCACTGCTTCCTCTCAGGTAACAATTCTTGTCATCTCTCGGGCCCTCCCCACTGAACCTCAGACTTTATATACACCCACTATCCTCGTGCAGTTCTCCGAGGCTGAGGTCGTCCCACATTTCACAGAGGAGTAAAGATGAGGAAGATGAGCCACCTGCCAGAGTAACCAGAGCAGAACTGGTTCAAACCAGCCTATGTATTCCTTCAAGGAGATGACAGTAACATCGCATTGTTCCCACTTGGGGGGGCAGAATGAAGTACAAGGAGTAGTACCTAAAATGATCTTGTTACAAAGCTAATTTGTTCACTTAGCAGTCATTGGATTAACTGACTCTTAACTACATAGTGAGTTCAAAGCCAGCCTGCCCTATGTGAGACTCTGTCTAAAAATAATAATAATAATAGTAATAATAATAAAATTTTGGTTTGAAGGAGTTTTAAGGCCAACAAACTGTGGCTTGGGGGCCCAATTCTGGCCCACTGCCTGCTTGGTGGATAAAGTTTTATTGGGACACAGACTAAGACCACTTGATTATGTATTATCTCTAGCTACTTTTACATCTCCACAGCAAAAATTGAGTCATGGCCACCCATAACGGATGTCCCACAAAGCTTAACATGTTTACCAGGCAGCCTTTATAGGAAAAAGTTGCTGCACCCCGGTCCAGAATCAAAACCACAAAGTCAAATAAAACCTGGATTATTCAAATGGCAAAAGAAAAGAGCTTCGAGGTAACCCAGAAGTGACTAAGGCTACAAGCAGAGTCCCCCGGGGATGTGAGCCCAGAGCACATGCCCCAGGTGAGCATGCTCAGATAGATGCTCATCTATTTTGGAAAGAAACCTCTTCATTCTCTTTCTAGAGTGGCAAAAGTCATCGCGGTCGCCCAGGCTCTGCCACTGCTGAGTTGTGTGACCTTACACCAACCTGCTTACCTGAGTACCTGACATCAGACATCTCTTACTAGATAATGAGGCTTGTGAAAAGTCTAAGAGTCCTGTGATCCTGGGGGCCTTCATGACGGTTATATGGAAGCATAGACTGCCTTCTAGATATTTGCATATATATATATATATATATATATAGAGAGAGAGAGAGAGAGAGAGAGAGAGAGAGAGAGAGAGAGAGAGAGAGAGAGAGAGAGAGAGAGAGAGAGAGAGAGAGAGAGAGAGAGAGAGAGAGGAGTAAAAAAAAGTCAGCCCTGCATGCAAAATCCATTTTTGTCCCTGGCCAACCACTCCATTTTCAGTAATTCTCTCACAACACAGCTTGACACCCTTGAGGAGTCACCCTGAAAGCCAGGAAGGAACACGTGGGCATCCCAACCCCATGAGACTGCAGTGTGTGTTCCCAGAGGTAGAGACAGCCAGGAAATGGGAGCCAGCCTGGGTTTGCACTGGAGGCCTGAACCATCAACCCTATGGTCCCTGGAGCCAGCACAAAGGCATCGGAGCACAGCAGCAGCCAGCTGGCCCCGTCCTGGTAAACATCGTGTTCCCTGCTCCCTCGCCCTTCCTCCAGGAAACACCTCCCCAGCTTGGAGGATGCTTTTCGGCTCACACCCTTGAACCCGCAGCCCAAACTCAAGGGGGAGTCCGTGGCCCCGTCAGCGGAGCCCACAGCACCTGGCTCGCTTTCCTCTACCCAGAGGCCAAACCCTCAGACACAAGAGAAACCAGAGCTGTCTCAGCTGGCCAACACACAGGCTTCCTGTCCAAGTGTTTGCGGCTGGGCTTCCTGCTGGCGGAAGGGTGGCCCTGCCGCTCTGCTCTGACATCCCCGCGTGGTGGCCAGGCACGTCCAGCTGGCACCCGGCAAGGGTTGCTGTGGCTGCACTCCGGTCATTCTCGGGGCCGCTGGGGTCAGGCCGTGAGGAGAGCTCTAGAAAGGATCCTTCGGGAACAGAGGAGGCTGTGAATCCGACCCCAGACTCTGCAGCTCAGGCTGGTCCCAGGCAGCAAGCCAGAGCATGCCTCCCAGACACGCCACACTCCAGACAGATGGACCCCTGTGCTTTACAGAAGCCCACCCACTCCCCACCTCACCTGGAGACCGCCACCTGTGTGCTCCTTCCTGGGTACCCCATACAGCTTCCTGTCACCCCGGGGGGGGGGGACACTGGAGTCAGAGTCCAGGCACCCCCGACCATAGCCCATGCTAGCTCTTATCTCACCATCTTGAGGCATTTAATAGCATGGAAAACAGCTTCCCTGTCCCAAGCGGAAACCAGAGAGTGAAAACATTCGCCGGGCCTACCATCTTTATTTCCCTACATCTCAAGGGCGGTGGCATAGAAAACGGGGCTGCATTCACTCCATGAAGATCCCAGGAGTCGGTCGGAACAAGCACGGCAGGGAGGCAGAACTCAGTGTGAATGAAGAAAACTAGGCTGTCCCATGAAGTAGGGAGCCTCCTGTTACGAGAGCTGTTCAGCAATGTTCACAGACTGTCCCAAAAGCACTGGAGCAGCTGGGAGGTGAGTCAAGACCCAGCTCCGGTAGGACCACTCTTTGCCCGGTACTTGACAAAATGCTACAAAATATCTTTGAAACGAGGTGTTGGGGGGGGGAGGGGTAAAAAAGAGCCGGGCGGTGGTGGCGCACGCCTTTAATCCCAGCACTCGGGAGGCAGAGCCAGGCGGATCTCTGTGAGTTCGAGGCCAGCCTGGACTACCAAGTGAGTTCCAGGAAAGGCGCAAAGCTACACAGAGAAACCCTGTCTCGAAAAATCAAAAAAAAAAAAAAAAAAAAAAAAAAAAAAAAAAAAAAAAAAAGAGGTAAAGGAGGAGGGAGTTGGAGGGCTTTGAAGAGTAAACTCTTTTCAAAGGGGTGGTAGACAAGCTGACTCTTGAATACCGTTTGTTTGTTGTTTCTGTGGTTATGGGATGAGGATCACAGCTGCCCACCCCAGAGGGCATCACGATAATAACCACGCAGCTCCCCTTTGGGGGCCTTGTTTACAGGCACAAGCCTTTATCTGAGCAATCTACCTACACACTCCCTGACACGTTTTTGTTTTTTTTTTGTCATTCGCTTCTACAGAACCCTGAAAAAGGCAGGGTCCCCATTTGAAGGCCGACAACGCAGAGCCGGAGGCTCGAAGTTAAATGGTACATCTGAGCTGAGACTCTTCAGTCTCCTGATTGGGTCCAGTGTCATCCACATGTGCACGTCAATCAATCTGTCGTACCGCCTCCGCAGAGCTTGCCGTGACGCTCCATCAAAGCATCTGGAGCTCGGCTGAGCACCAGACACGGCTCTGTCTCCTGAAAAATGTGCAGGAAGCAGGTCATCCTCCAAAAATGGACCGTTTCCCCCCCCCAAACACCCCCACTTCATTCAGGACAGAGGTAACATTTGCATTATCGGTGACTGAATAACTACTGGGGCCAGTCAGTCTCTCAGGGGCAGGTGTGCTTTTCAGCTCACCTGGTCCCGAGTTAGAGGGATACTAGTTAATGGGTTTGTGACCTGTTCTGCCTCAGATCCAGGCCGTATCTGCCCATCCTCCATTCCTCCCTTCTGATTCACGGCTCTATTCTTGCAGACTATCCTTGCCAAGGGCAAGCCTCCAACTGCCGGGAGACCCAGGGAGGAGGAGGAGGAGGAGGATAAGGAGCAGTCTCTCTCCTTTTGCCTGGCAACATTACCCCAGAGCCCAAGTCCTACCAAGAAATGTGCACCAAGGTTGTAGTCCCCCCCCCCCCCCCCCCCCCGACTTCTGGCCACGGTGCCTTCTCTCTGGCCCTGTAGTCTGGAATGACAGCGGCTTCCTGTCTCGTCAGCCTCCAGCATGCTGTCCCCCTGTGTACCCTTCATGACTTCCCACACCTGCATGACTACACTTCCTCTGCTGAGGTTTCTGGGTCGGGCTATGTTTTCTACATGGATTCCTTCTGGTTCTAAATCAGTGTGACCTGTTGAACTCCAGCCCCAAAAGGGTCAAAATGGTGGGCGGGAAAGGCAGTTCTGCCCTGAGTGTCAAAAAGACAGAGCAGGACAGGGAGGCATGGAAGGACAGCTGAGCTCCACTTGTAGCTTGAAGGTGAGGTGGTATGTTGGAGTAAGGATTCCCACCCCCAGCCCTGTCCGTACCCTTCCCTTCCCCTCTCACACCTAGTTGCATAAGGCTGAAGCATCCCTGGCATCCTTGGAGGCTCCGACACAAGAGTCCATGCCTCTCGAGTCCATGGGCCAGATCCTGTGACTCAGGGCTCTGAGCAGGCCAAGCTTCCAAGTCCACGTCACCTCCTCCATCAGGACTTGGTGAGAAGGCCTCCCACAATGATGTCAGCAAAGGAAGCAGGTGTCTTTCCACTCAACCTTCCCCCTCTCTCCCCACCCCGACCTGGAGTATCTGGGACACAGAAGGGACTCTTAGTTCGGCCTCCTTTATTCTCACAAGGCGCACCCTCCCTCACCAGGATGAGGGGGTCTGCCTGTGACTCCGAACAGCCTTGCCCTGACAGAGTCGGTGGAAAAAGGAAAAAATCACACCGAAAGAAGGAAGCCATAGCCTTAGCTCCAGGCTCACTGTGGCCCCATGACATGCCCACCTCTAAGCCGTCACGTGCTTTACATCTATCCATAGTGCTAAAGAGACCCTCCCAAATGCCCACGGTCTCCTGCTCACACAGCTGTACTGAGTGGGTACCGGGTACTGGCAGTTCGCAGAGATGAGTAACCTAAGGTCCCGCTTTCAAAAAAAAAAGAATTCCAAGAATCGGGAGTGGGGGGGTTTGTATCCAGGATCAGCTGGGACCAACGAGACTTTGGCCATGTGACTCTTGCCTCCTCCGCATTCTCGTGTATAAAATGGAGAATATAAGCACCAAGTTGTAAAAGTGTTCATGTAGGTAACCAATTTGGTCCAGGATGCAGAGTTTTAATATCCATTGACTATTTCCTTTTAATTAATAAAAATAATTTAATTAATAAAATAATTTATTAAAATCGTTTACACGCTAGCCTGGGGAAGCCTTGCTTCTGTTCACACCGAGCCCTTCACAAAGCCTCTCCCCCCCCCCCCCCCCCCGGAATAGGATAAAAACAAGCTTGTTCTTTCCCGTTTCGGTGATCTTCAGCAGCCTGACCTCGGAGGCATCCCATGCGCACCCTCTGTCCCCCTGACAGCCTGGCCGACACCCCTCCCGGCCGGATGTGCTCGCGGAGGGCCAAGGTTGGGAGCGTTTCCGGGACGGCTGGGTCACACTGTGGCTCTGCAGTGTCTGGCAGCCCCACCCTTCCTGGCAGCCAGACCTCCTCCTCCTCCTCCTCCTCCTCCTCCTCCTCCTCCTCCTCCTCCCCTCCTCCTCCCCCCCTCCCCCTCCTCCTCCTCCTCCTCCTCCTCCTCCTCCCCCCCTCCCCCTCCTCCTCCTCCTCCTCCTGCCTCTGAGAGCCTGCCAGCACCCGGGAGGGAGAGTGGGCCCTGGAGAGGCGAGGTCCAGCTCCTCGGGGAGGGCTAGACCCGGCAGCGGGGACCCGACGGTCCCCCACCCCACCCCACCCGCCGCGCGCCCTCCTGACCTGCCACGCACACGCATCTCAGAGAGTGCCAAGTGCTCCTCCTAGTGGGGAAGGAAGGATGCGCGACCCCGGACTGCTGCCCTTCTCCGGGCAGCTACAACCAAGGGCTCAGTCCCAGGCCAGCATGATAACTGCCAGATGACATCAGCTGGTCCCACCCTACCTCACAGTGGGAAAGGCCCGTTGGTATCCAGTGACTTTTGAGCGTGCCAGATTTTTGAGGATCCATTTTACAGATAAGAGCACTGAGTCAGTCTCCGGCTGGATTGCAGCTGCTTTCTTGTGTTACTCTCAAAACTGACAAGGGAGACAGGACCATACCCATGGCCCATGCTTTTCCACCTGACCACACAGAGACATGACACCATCTTGAGAACGGACATTATTCTCCTCTTTGCCCTCGGACCTTGATCACCAGAAACCAAGTGCCCTAGGGATATCCTGATTAAATGTCTTTCGACTGACTGATGACTACTGTTCTCAATGCCATCCCTCCAGAGTCAGAACCCCCACCCTTCCAACAACACGTCTAACCCCACCAAAGCAGAAGAAGGGAGCTTTCTGCTCCCTGTGGGGAGGGAGAGTTCAAAAAGTTGCCTCTGGTTAATTCTATCAGGCCAGCCTGGTTCACATACCACAGGGAGTGGGGCGTGTCCTCCGCCCTGTCAGAAGCCTGCAGCGGATCCCCTGGAGAGCCTCCAAGCCCCCCCTCCCCCGCCCTCACCCCTGCCTGTACTGGAGAGAGGGCATTTTGGAGTAACTCACTCATCAAGGAGAGGAGGTGACCCCTGTCCTGTCTTCCAGAATCAGACCTCCCAACCTAAATGAAGCCACATGCTGCCCTGGGGATGTGTGTCCTGGGGACCAGCCCTGGAGTTCTGGTCTGCAGACCCTAGCTTGGAGGCTCTTGGAAGCCACGGGAGGAGGAAGGTCCGCTGTCTACCATCCGCAACCTGGATCCTGTCACGGGAAGGCACTGGGCCTGAGCTCAAGGACAGAACAGGCAGGCAGTGAGCTGTGTTTTCTGGGAAAGCAGCCAGCCCTTGTGCCCTCAGGCTTCCGGGCACTGAGGAGAGTTGGTAGAGCAGGCACTGTCCGCCTTGGCTTCCTCAAGCCCAGGCTGAGTGGTCACACCCTGTTTCTGGTGCCAGAGACCCACAGCAGGGGTCCACTAACACTCAGCTCTTTGCACTCGAGGGGAGGAGGCATGGTGGAGGCTCAGAGCCACACCAACCTGTGCCCAGGAACACACGAAGTCCAGGTCTCTGGTAGCTGATTCTCAATCTGTCCCATCCCCCCTGCCTGGCTGAGCTGTCTGAAGGTAAGGGAAAGGCATTTGACCGGGCCTCAGAAACGCAGAGCTCCAAATCCTAGGTAGGGTGTTGTGTACCTGTGGGCACATGTCATTTCTCCTAATCCCAGCCTCAGTCTCCCAGACGGGCTTATCTTCCTGGTTGCTTGAAGCCTAAGAGCCTAAGATGCCTCTGGACACACCTGAAGCACAGATCTCTCACAAAGGCTGCTGTTTCTTAGTGTCCAAGAATTTAATGTAGTCCTGTTAACCCATTAGAGGAAATGACGAGTGTAGGTGTGAACGTGCAAGCATGGACTTGGGCCCTTGATGGGTGCTTACTCTGAGACGGAGAGGGAGGCCTTCTAGTTCCTGGTAGCTGCCACCACGAAAGAACAAACTGAGGATGAGCCTGGAACTCATCCGGATTCCTCACTGGGCCACTCAGCGCGCACTCGGGAAGTTACTTGTCTAAGAAGGTCCTGGGAGATGAAGTCTGAGGGTCTCACACAGTTTGGGTCATTTCAGGAGGATTGTCTTCCAACAACAAAGGGTTCTCATGTAAGAGGGACGGCACTCTAGCTGACCCTCTAGTAAGGGCCCTAAAGTGAAGATTTATAGATGCCAAGTCTGGATTCCCTGAGAAAAGAACTTTCTAGAAGCTGTTTTCCAACAGACTAGACTGAGTTCATAGGCAGTGTACTTCCAGGCACTAGGAGTGTTGTCTGGATGAGAGGCGTGCGGTAGTTGTGGGGTGACTCCATAAAGAGTCAAGGGCGTTGGCGAATCCTCCCCTCATCCTGGGGATTCCTGGCTTCTCTGTTCTCCATGGGCTGTGAAGCTGTCCCTGGTATTAATTAGCAAGCAGCACTGCCTAAGAGGTGATTCAGAACATCAGTCCTTGGCCAGATCATACTGCTGGGACGGCCTGGAGCGCTACACATCTTGTACACATTACTCCATGTAGGAGGGGCTGGGTGTCTATCAGGACAGGCAGTTTAATGGGTTATAAATGGTTCTGTTCCCACATAGCCCTCTTTATCTCTCTCTCTCCCCTTACTGTGTAAAAGGAGCCCGCATAGACGCCTCACGCTTGAGGCCACAAAGCATGTGGCCTTTACAATGCCAGGAAAAACAAGTTCAGGCATGCAGAGAGCTCACCCTGAAGTGTGGTGGGCCAGCTTTTCGGGGCTGGGTGGTCCCCTGGTTGCCATACATGAATTTGGTGCATGGTGTTCACCTGCCAAAATCCACACTCTAGTCACATTAAGTCAGTGAGGGAAGGTGCTAGGCAGTGGCCCACTGCTAAGGAGACTCTGGGTGATTTGGGGGAGCTGCAACCCCATGGCTGCCAAGCCATCCCTATCAGCCTGGATCCGGGCCAGCAGATGGACAGCTGCAGACCAGCTGTTGGCGTGAGGAAAGCCAGCAACCAAGAGCCGTGATGTGGAAAAAACAGTCTTCTTCTAAGAGGGGGCCCAGCCCAGACCCCCCAGGAAAGGGCAGCCCACATGGAGGGGTACTGGGTCCCTTCAGGCAAATTAATCTCGACAACCAGATTATGTTTGTATCTTGTTTTCATCTGGCTCATAATGGCCGAGCAGTGGAGTAGCAGTGCCTTTTAGAGCTGTGGTGGTCGGACATCACCACGCGGAAGAGGAGCAGCAGAGAGCCAGACAGGAAGTAGCTTTCCCGAGGCAGAAAGCATCTTATCTGAAGCCTGTCCTGTGGTCCTTCAGCGGCAGGTCAGGTCTAGATCAGCATCCTTCCGTCACAGGCCCCTTCCCACCAAGCCCTGCTCCACACGAACAACAGGTGAAGGAGAGAAACATGGCAGGGAACTTCGGGGACCCACTCTGTGTGGCCTTCTCCCTCTCTCTTCCAGTGCTGCCGGGCCCAGCAACCCTGTTGCTCGGCAACAGGAAAAGATCTGGTTGTTGGTGCTATGCCCCGGCCAGCCTCTTCTTTCTGCCTTCTGCAGCCAGGCTGTGGGTCTGTCGTCAGCTCCGGCGCCATCTCCAGGAGGCCTTCCCTGACCGTTACGTCATTACCTAGTGTACTTCTTTATAGAGTGTCATTTTGTGTTTGCTTCGTGTGTTTCTGTTTCTTCCCATAAACATGTAAATGACGATAAAACAGACTGTCATGGGGACTCAGCAAATATGACTGACAAAAAGTGAGGAGAGTTCTTATTTCAATTTTTATATTTTTATTGAAAAACTTTTTTAAAAAGATTTATTTATTTATTATGTAGAGTGTTCTGTCTGCATGTATGTCTGCAGGCCAGAAGAGGGCACTGGATCTCATTACAGATGGTTGTGAGCCACCACCATGTGGGTGCTGGGAATTGAACTCAGGACCTCTGGAAGAACAGCCAGTGCTCTTAACCTCTGAGCCATCTCTCCAGCCCTGAAGAACTTTTTTACACAATATATTTTGTTCCCCTCCCCCAACTCCTCCCAGAACCTACCTACTCAGCTTCATGTTCTCTCTCTCTCTCTCTCTCTCTCTCTCTCTCTCTCTCTCTCTCTCTCTCTCACTCACTTTTAGTTGCAAACTACACAAAGCTGGTAATGAGTACCGGTGGAGATATTATCAAACCTTACCATTTGAACGATATGGGTTCTCCCTGGATGATCTGTACACACCTCCATGCTGTGTACTCATAGACTCTGACTTGGAAGGCAGGATAAAGTACCGTCTGGTCTCTAAAAGTTCAAACGCTCCCACCACAGTCCTGCGTTATTGACCTTCTCACTCTCAGAAAGCAAGTTCAGAGGACATGCTGACCTCTCTCCCCTCCTACTGATGTTTCCCACACTGCTTCCGGTCCCATCCTGCTAATCTCTGATTGTAGCAAATTGCTTTCCACATTTGAAAAGCAATAATGATCCCTATGTAAGACAACCTGTGAGTTTTTCCCCAAGCAGGGACCTCTTTAGAGAGAGAAAACAATGTAGATGGCTTCTCAGTTAAGCATTGCTGAAGTCCTCTAAGGTAAGTTTGTATGGACAGCCTGTGAGCTGGGCACCATGCCAGGCATGCCAAGGACATGAGGGTGGGTCCTGCCTCTGAGCAACTCCCCTTAGGCCCGTCAGAAGCAGATCACTTTGACTCAATAGATGTCTTATGAAGCCGCTACTAAATGTAAACCCTGGGAGACCTACCAATAGACCTAACCAGCACCCAGAGACACGTGGAGAAGGATGCCCTACCGACAGTTCAATATTCTGTGTTAGGTCCTATCAAGAACATGGGCACATGGGAGACAAGGTGGCCAGGAGTGGTGAGAAGAGCTGGAGACCAGCTCTGAGGGAGAAGCAGGGGTGGGACAGGGAACGAAGACAGAAGGGACGTCAAGCAGGTGTAGAAGGGGATGGGAGCTGGCAGACTCCGGGGACTGTGAGGGGACTGTAGGAGCAAAGGACAGAGGGAGCGGACATACGCAGACGTGTGAAATTATGGACAGTGGCCGGCCAGCCAGGCAGGCAGAAGACTAGGGGAACGCTCACAGACTAGGGCATGGCCTGTCCCAACAGGCAGCTAGGGAAAAGTGTGAGACTGAAATTTAAAGAGTTAAGGCTTGACCCTGCACGCCCCAGGGAAGCCCAAAGACCCTAGGGCTGAGGAGAGAGGTTGCCAAGGGGAAAACCCAGTCTGGGGGACTGTTGCCAGGAGAAGGGACAGGTGGTAAGGGCTACAGCAGAGTGGCAGGTGGGGCAGCCTTGAGGATGACAATAATAAAGGACTGATGTTTTCAGACCTCTCTTCTTTTTTTTTTTTTTTTTTTTTTTTTAAGATTTATTTATTTGTTTATTTATTTATTTATTAGGTATACAGTGTTCTGCCTGCATG